CCATAAGAGGAAGTCTAAATTCTCACCCCTAACTAAAATGAACATTCTTTTTTTGGAATTTATTATCATTAGCTATATGTGTTTTCTTTTTTTTATTATCAATACTAAAATACAAAAAGACTAAGCACAAGCCAAGCATGACACTAACATTAGGTAGCATCAGCGTTCAGGTCTAAAGCATTTTTAATTTCAGTCCTCGACTTAAAATGTTGCAGTGATTTTTTTTAATTTGAGTTAGCCATTTCTTATGAAAATTTGGTATGAAAATATGGATGCATACAGTATTAATTCATTATGCAATTAAATTCACTTACGATAACATGAAAAAACAAGGTTTAATTTTACTTTTTCTTAAATTTCAAGAAATATTTCTTCGATGTCGTGTCTGTTCCTATATGCTTTAGAAATCAAGGAATAATGAAACAACGAGATCTGTGAATAGTGTTCAAAGATTTTGATTTAAATTGCCTTTTGACGTATCGGCTCTCATTGAAAAAATTGACACCCACAAAATATCGATGGTCTGTCCTCGTGGCAACTGTCATGTAGTATCAAGGACAATGACCTTTGGGCGGAAAAAATGTTTCAATCTGTTTAACCCGTCCAATCATTTTGATGTGTAGGTTAAGCTATGTGAATTTATGTCTTGGTTGATTTTCATGATCCTAGTTTTTGAAAATCTATAATGAAAATCTATAATGTCTAAATGCCCGTGTATCATGAAAAAGGTGATCGTTTCTTGACATAGAATAGTAGAAAAACAGTACGATATGAACTTGAAAAATTAAAAAAAAAAAAAAAAGCAAATACAATTTATCATTAAGTCAAATGCTGACTGACTTTTTTCATATTAACTGTTAGGCCATTACTTACACACTGAATTGTCGACGGATTTTTCCGTTATTTCCCGATCATGACAAGGAACACACGGCGGGTGTGACCGGTCGGCAGGGAATGCTCACTCCCACCTTTGATGTCTTAGAGGTCCGTGTTTGCTCTGCTCCTATTTTGTAATGTTTAATGGACTTTTGAGCTCGAATACCGTTCGTTATCTCCATCTCAACATATTTCATTTCAGCAAAATGATCATGCATTTGAAAGGTAATGCATGAGACAATGGCATGCGGATATCAATAATCATAATTTGTATATAATATTATTTCAATGAATATCCTTGTCAAAATATAAACAGTCATATATGTATTTCTTAAAATTGTAAACGATTTAAATAAATTTATCAAAAAATTTAAGGTCTCGTATATCAAGGCAGAATAATATTGAAAAGAATAATATTGCATTAATATTTTAAAGTGCGTTTTTCAATGTATTGGCTTAAAAATGAAAAGGAAAGTACAGGATATTTGTGCTGGTACATTCATTTTCTGACAGTTGAAATAAGTTATAATGTTCATTTATATGATTATCTTTTTATCTTACAAATAGAATTTAAAAATGAGTGTTTTTTTTTTGCACAGATGCCAAACAGCAGAGAGTAAATATATTTCTCAAAGATATAATTACAATTTTGTGCATAATGGGATTATCTCGAATGCCAAAATCACAAAAATAATTACTCAGTGATTATATAATTCAATGAATAATTTTGACTGTAGAACATTTCATTTTTCATTTAAAGTTTCTCAATAATATCTTATAAAGCTAAAACAAATTGTATAGATTTATAAGGGTTATGGCTAATAGGAAGACATTTGAATATCATAGAAAGACTACAATTTCTTAAGAGTTTATAGAGATTTTTATGTATACATCATTTACAAACAAAAGAAGTCATAAAATATATCCCAGTTCATGCATAGCTGTATTTTTGTTGTTTGTAGTATGTTTGTTTTTGCAGTAACGATAATGTATGTGTAGACAAAAGTAAATCTGCCCTGCTTTAGCTTTAATTTCTTATCAAAGTTTCTCTTCAAAATACACATGTGTGTCCTTGATAATGGTATTGTACTTTTTCATGTTGATTAGAGGTGATAAAATTAATGACTGAATGATTAGATTAAAAAAAAATGAAAAATGAAATAAAGGTACAAATATTGAAAAGCCATCAGAAAATAAAAATTGCAATTCTATAATTTCGGTCAAGTTTGCACACTGTTGTGTTAATATAATAAAGTACTAACATTTAATACATAGTTAGCAAACAAATCACTGATCTTACATTTTATTGAAATAGGACACCTAGATTGAGTAAATGTAAGAGAAGTATTTTTTTTTTAATTATTTCAGCTCACCAATAGTATATGAAATATATTCATAAATACGATAAGATTCTTAATTGAACTCGTCTGATATATTGATTAACAAAAATAAATTGTGATTTCTAGGCTTGTAAAATGCAGTATACATGAACAAAACCTACACATTATTCATACCTAAAAAATATGTGACCTAAATCACTGAATCGTGGATTCTCTGGGAAGCGTTTGTTTTAAATTGGTCACATCAGCCACGAAACACATCATGCTATATCAAGAAATCGATATTTTTATATCGGTTTAGCAGACAGTTATTTTTCCTTGCAAATTGGGATCTCTCAGAGCATAAAGCTAAAAATAATCTCCATTATATCAGACAAAGAAAGTTTCTGTCAACCGAATGTGAGAGTAACATTATTAAATCCATACTCGGTGTTGCTGGGTTAATATCTTATCAAAGGTAAGATAATTTTTCATTTTCTTGGGACTCACGATTTGCGAGCATTAAAGAATATCTTAAAAGTGTATACATATAATCACGTAATACATAAATTATCTAGCTGAAAATACCGCTACTTGGATTTCATTTTAACTAAAAATATTCCCTTGTTCTTTGTAAAAATCTACACAGAGTTTAACATGAAGTCTAAATCTTTTTCGGAACGAACAAAATTAAGTTATTTTTCCAAATCCCTTCAATGAAATAGAATTTAGATATAAAGGTATATGTATTTAAAATTTCATTTCGTTCAGATATTCTTTTGTGTGCCATTGAAGATGACCCCTGATTTACTACATTGTAATTCATGATCAGTGTTACTTAATTAATGATGAATTTCCTTAATGCCAGATTACCCGTACTCTACTGTATGAACGATCTGTCTCTAGAAAAAAACCCATAACATTTGATTAATTCTGATGTTTTTAGAGATCCGTGTTTGCCTTGTTCCCGATTTGTTGTGTTTCAATAGACTTTTGAGCTTGACTACTGTTCTTTATCCCCATATTTCATCTAGTCTGAGGTATTTAGTAGAACAAGTAGTATAGAAATTTTAATGTTAAAAATATGCTAGCAATATGAAATCAGCACAGAAAACTCTAGAAAAGTGTAATCTATATAATAATTAGATTTTATAGATTATTAACTGCTTTCTTTACATTAATGACCAACAAATACCTCTTGGCGAATTGTGTCTTTTACGAAAAACGAGATTTGTTAAGAACAGATACAATCTGTTCTTGAAGATTACTTCAAAAATTTAAAACTCTTAACTTAAGAAAGCTGAAAAAACAACGAGACCTTTAAATGGCCTTTGCAAAAATTCAGATGATGTCATATACTTTTTACTTAATATTTCTCAAAGCAATGCATATTTTATATTTTTTGAAGTGAAGGATCTTGGTAATACCACGTATGTGTATGTGTGACTGGAGGCACTTTAATTATAATTACTGAACAAGCCTAAGAAACTCGAAAAAGATTATTATTGTTTATGTATGAATTACTTTAATATTTTCAGATAAAATGGCATGTACATGTACTTTGTGCTGCAAGAAATGCCATACAAAATGGGAGGAAATACTGCACAATTTCTTTGCCAGACTTGGTGCCTTCATTTCAAACTATCCTGTACGAATAATGATTTGCTGCATTGTTGTCAACTTGCTTTTGACCATTGGATTGATTAGAATTGAAGTTGAAAATGATGTCGAAACACTTTATACCCCCATAAATAGCCAAGCAATACAAGACCGATCAGAATTACGAAGCCTATATGGAGACCCAACAGACAGCCATTTTCGTTCATATCAACTCACCGACTTTGGATTATACGGCAGTGTGATGATCATTTCAAAACAAAAGACAGATATTAAGACACAAGCTTATGTGGACGAAATAAATAGCATACACAGTGTTATAAATACCTCTATTACTGTAACGGATTCTTCCGGAACTTTGTACACCTATAATGACTTATCTGCGGGATCTGATCCTCTCCAGGCGATTTCTGGATCTATCATTTTATCACAAGCATTTCAAGAAAATTTAGTGATTAATAACGTTACGTATCCTTTCTTCGGCCAAAACACACTTACTCCTTTTCTTGCCAAAGCTGTTTCGAAAAACGGAATGTTGACGTCCACTATTGGCGTTAAATTACAGTACTATCTTAAACAAACCAATGCATCTATGAAAGAATTTTCAAAATCATGGGAAAGAGCTTTTGTATCCAGGCTTGAAAACCTACAGACAAATCTGACAGACATTGCTTATACGTATTCAGATTCCCTTGAAACAGAACTAAACAAAAACACAGATGGCGATATTAAATTCTTTTCGGTTACATTCACCCTAATGATGATATATGCCTCAATTGCCTCATTAACTATTAACTGTAACAACGTGGCTAATCGTATGAATTTAGGATTTGCAGGGATCCTTGCACCAGTTTTGGCCATTGCTTCAGGTTTTGGATTTGTAAGTGCTATTGGAGTAGAATTCACAAATATTGTTGGTGTTATGCCCTTTTTGGTTGTTGGTGAGTAGTTGAAATTTTGGAGATATAATATGCATGCCTTAAACTAATAATCCATGATTTTCCATCTACATATGTATGCACATATGAACATTTTTAAATTCAATTTCATTTGAAATTTAATCACTTTTCCTCTAGTAGAGTATTTTGTAACATGCTTGTAGCTGAGTAGCTGAGTAGATTTCCTCCCAATGAAATGTTTGTTTAGTCTAGTATTCTTTAGTCGTGCATTGCTACATTGTTGATTTAGGTATCGGAATTGACGATATGTTTATCCTCATGTCTGGAATGGCGGACGCCCCTCCACTTACTAAAGTTTCAATAAAGGAAAGGATGAAGTTTATGATGAAGAAGAGTGGAGTAGCTATTACCATTACGTCCATAACAGACTTACTGGCTTTTGTTATTGGTGCAACCTCTGTTTTTAAAAGTATAAGGAATTTCTGCATTTATACAGGTATACAAATACAACAGTTGATTTTTTTTTTCAAATGATAAAACATTATTATATAATTACTGTAAAAGATCATGGTCTTAATTTTTTCACATTTTTCATTCATTTCAGGAGTGTCTGTGTTCTTTTGCTATTTAAATCAGCTTTTCTTCTTGAGTCCGGCTATTAGAATTAATGAACAAAGAACTATGGAGAAAAGACATTTCTGCTGTTCCTGCAAAGTAGTGAAAAGAAAACAAGATTATGAAGGAAAATCAAAATGTTTTCTTCTTTGTGTTCCCGGATCAATCCCAGAAACAAGACTTGACGTCGAAAGTCCTATGGAAAAATACCCTAAAAAATTTATTCTTTTTGTTTTAAATCATACAGTGGGGAAAGGAGTTGTCATTTTAGTATTCCTTGCATATCTTGGAGCATCCATTTATGGCTGTATGAATCTTCAGCAAGGTCTACAGCTTTTCAACTTAGCTTCAAAGGATTCATATTTTTACAAATACAGTCTTTGGGACGAAAATTATTTCACCACCGAACCCATGATTACCCTGTGCGTGACAAAAGTTCAAGATTATCACAGGACAGAAACACAAAACCTGTTAAACTCGGTCATATCAAAGACGAAATTGGACAATTATATCGACGGAAGCGTTGAAATTAATTGGCTTGATAGCTACAAAAAATCCGCGGTTTATGACTCTTCATCAGAAACAAACTTTGTTAATGTTCTTATCAACTTTCTCGGATCTCAAGATGGACAGTCATTTACAAACGATATAGTTTTAGATAAATCTAACTTTAAAATTTTATCATCAAGAATTCATCTAAAGGCCCAAAACATGAAAACGTCGAATGAACAAGGCGATTTTATGAAACGCATGCGTGAAATAACAGATGGTACCGAACTTCCTTGCATTATTTATACCCCAGCTTTTGTATTTTTCGAACAATACGTGCAAATTTTATCCAGTACCCTTCAAACTGTAGGCATTGCTATTGCCGCCATGCTTGTGGTGACTTTTATATTTATGCCGGATTTCAGAGTTGTACTCATTGTATGTATAACCCTTATAAGTATCCTTGCAGGAATATTTGGATTTATGTACTACTGGGACCTCACGTTAAGTTCCATTACTATGATCCATCTTGTAATGAGTGTTGGTTTTTCTGTAGATTTTAGCGTCCATATTTGCCATGCTTTTATGTCAGTTGAAGGGGAGAGTCGAAAAATAATTTTAGAAAATGCCATGGACCGATCTGGAGGTCCTATCGTGAATGCAGCAATTTCAACACTGTTGGGGATAGGTATGCTAGCATTTTCAAGAAGCTATATATTTAATTCATTTGGTATTCTCATGTTCCTAGTGATAGGGTTTGGTCTTATACATGCTTCATTCTTTCTGCCTTTATTTTTATATGCGATCATTCCTTGCATTCATAATTCAGAAATGACAAAAGTAGAACATTCCTCTGAGGATGACTCAGTTCCCAAAGAAAAACCAGTTCCTAGTTTATCAGGAAAGGTCTTCTCACAACAAAGCCATTTATCGCAGGGAATGAATAATTATACTCAAGCAAATGAAGACATGTATTCTAAACATAGAGGGAAATTTACAGACATTGGGGATGGGTACAAAATGTACCAACCCCACAAAAAATATGAAGATTAGATATATTTTCCCCCACAGAATAAGAGAAAGAATGTAAAGCCTTTTCTTCCAGTGCTGCTTTCTATAAAAAGAAAAACAAATTTATCAGTTTTAATGATGGTGGAACAACATGATTATTGAGTTTATATCTTGGAATGCAGCAGAATTTCAAAATAACTTTGACTGTAAGCTAATCAGGTAAACTATATATACATGAATTCCTTAAGAGTCCTAGGCCTCTATACACTGCACAATAAAGAGTTATAATTTTGTCGTATACATGTAATCATGCAGGTAGAGTAATCTGCCCTTTAATCAAAAATGAAATTAATTGAAATGTACGGTTTATTACTTAATTTGTGATCAAATCATGCATTAAAAGCATGTTAATAGATTAAAATGAATAGATTGAACACTTCATTTGCAGGTATTGTGCCCACTTAAGTGAACAATAGTGATTTTTGTTCATCAGTACTTCATTGTCTTGGGGCATTTTTCTGGGGGCAGGGGAGGGGTTTCCTATGAGAAAATGTAATAAAAAGATCAATATTTATACCTTTACACACTGAAATTTTCTCAATGTCCAAAATTTTTTCTCTAGAATATAGAGGGTCCTAAATACATTCTCCGGGGCCCTGGGGGTGGGGCAAACTCAGGAAAAGGGACCACGACCTGGTACATATCAGGAACTTTCATAGGCGGTAATTGATTATTTGATGCAAAATACTGTATTTGAATATATAAAGAATTTGTATTCTGTATGATTATTTTTTATTAATTATTCACCATTTTAAGGGATAAAATATATATGTCTTATCAGTTTATGCTAGAATGAAATAGAGTAATATTCTTTTAAATATCTATTTATTTTTGTACTATATAGGTACATGTAAATGTATATATTACTTAACGAATTGGAATATCCTCGCTTGCATCTTTATCGCATTTTTTAATTGCTGTAAATTCAAAAAGCCATATATTTTGCAATAAAATAAAATAAAATTTAAAAAAAAATCCAAAGGGAAAAATAAACAATGAGTATTTTCATGTTTTCTTTCTTTTATTATTTTTAGATTCAGAAAAATTACCTAAAGTAATTGTAACGCCATCACACCACGTATGCTCAAAATGCAACACGTGATAGAAGCTGAGTGTAGCGCAGACGGTGTTAGAAGTACATATCAAACTTCTGCTCAGACTGTATATTCATATCGAGAAATATGGACAGACAAAGTACATAATCCTTTCATATACCTCAATAATATGATGCTTGAAATGATAGAGAGTATGTAAAGTTACAATTTATTAAATTAAATCAAATAACAACATATGAACAACACTCTCACACAACATTCAGTCTGTATAATTTCAATTCATAACTAACTTATTGTATTAAAAAAAATAATAAATAATAATAACCCACATAATTGTCAAGTGTTCCCTCCCTTAAGAAATTTACTTTAAGAATAAAAACAAAGGGGAATAACTCTGATTAAATAATCCTATGATAAAATTTTATTAGATGAAAACAGGATTTGATATACCAATTTGTAAAATGAGTTAAATTACTCACTTGTTCACTATGGTCAACCTAAACCATATAATAATGTTTACTAACGTATGAACGCACAGTTCAGTTACTGCATTGTTCACAATAGTTAACCTACTTAGCATATAAACTAAAGACTAACTCACAGATGCATACAACAATTAACGCACTGAATTAATTTACGAATGGTTCGTTCTTAAATTAACTATCGATAAATTCAAAATGCAAAATATCACTAAAAATATAATTAGATAAATTACCAATGATAATCAAACTAACTCTTTACCTATTCAAAAATATTTCTCAAACAAATATATCTCAAAATTCAATCAATTTATAAATCTAAGAATTTACGAAAAAAATCTACTAACTCAATAAAAATCACGGAAATTACAACTCACAGTTAAATCACTGCATCAGTTGTTATTCCATTAAATATGAATAAATAAAAATCTAATCCTAAAGTAAAATAAATAAAATTAAAAGAAAAAAAAAAAGAAAATATACCTAACAACACTACCAACCTATCCCTAAACTAACAGTTCCCCAGAATAACAAGCAGACGAAAATGCACCCTTTATATAGACTCAACCAAACGATCTATCTAGTCGTAGGAATCTTAACTAATCAATTCTTATTGGTTAATCTTGCCATATGAAACATTTGATTGGCTAAGCTAAAAAAATCGCTTTTTGCCGAGATGCCATCTAGTGTACAAATACGTTACCATAATGCAACATACCGACAATTTACAATATTGCAAAAACAATGTTAAATCCATTTTCAATAACAATATTCATGACCAAAATACAATAAAACATCTGTTGAACAATTTCTAATCAATCAATACTTACAGTTCAAAATATATTAGTAATTTGACACATTCTAAAATTATCATTTACAATAACTTTATCGGTTAGTCATAACCGGAAGTAAACATTTGATGACAATACTAAACCCGAACTCTTCAAGCATGATTTAAAAATAAACAGGTAATCAACTTTAATGCAGAAGAAAATCATTCAGACAAACAATGCTTCAATTTATCCATCAAAGCACTGACTTTAATTTATCATGACAAACTTCAAAAAGTTACGTTTACACAACCAAGTACCGTCCGCATTTCCTCGATATCAACATACAGTATCCGAGACATCTATTAATGCTAATACTTTGAGTAAAAACAATCTCTCGATCTCTTAAATCTTAATAATAAACTCTGAATGTATGTAAACTGCATCAACCAGCTCCAGATCACCATAATGTACAATAAATATTACAGTCATTGACTTTATTGAATAGAAAAATCAACCCGCTCCAAGTACGTACAAAAATAGCAAAATATTACAGTCATTGATGCAGCATGGTTTAGTAACCACTGTCATGGATGAAACAATGAGTTACACTGTGTCATATAACATTACTGTCTTTACACAAAAATAAAGGGGGGGGTTCAATCGTTACAGTAATATTAAAGTAATCTATTCTTATGTCTAAAGATATATATGCTTATTCAGACAAGTATAGTAGTAGTAGTTTCTTTATTGGCGTATACATTGCATATATTGCCACAAAAGTATAACGTTAGTTTTATAATATAAACATTTGTCAACAAGTGTTACACAGGTGCTTTAATAACATAACTTTATATACACATATATGAAAAAAGAACTATACAGGAGTATTTCGTATTATTAATCTTGCTTTTGAGTACAGTTACTTGGTATCAATGATAACATCCTTTAAAGGGAATATTGACGACTACCCTCGCTCATCTCGAAAATCTTAAGCAGAATTTAATTCTAATGAATCAATTTCGACTTCTTTATCAAAATTTTCCCGAACTTTTTCGTAGACCTCTGACTTTTCCCTTAGTTCTTTAACACTCGGAACTCGAGAGTTACACGCTAGGTGTCGTTTTTGCATCACTTCCGTAATTTCTACTCTGACATTTCCAAATCTTGTAGCATTTTTCACGTTTGACGATGAATACTCGGATTATTATGGGATGCCTGGGCAATTAAATAGCACGATTAAAGACAAAAATATCTACCGAAACAAGATATCATGACACATTTCGGTGACATGTATTAGGTAAATGATATTTCGGGCCTGATATCCAAGAGGGGTCCAGTGTAAACAAATGGAAGTGACTTACCTTCTCTATTTTATAATACCGCGGGTATGATTTTTTAGTAAAACATTAATTCTGCGTTATATTTTGGATTTTACTTATGGAATACATTGTAAATGTGTACTAGAAGAATAATTTATGAAAAAAATACATAAAAATATTTTTTGATCTGTGGGGCATATTGGAGGGGGGGGGGGGTCCTGTCCACAAGTACCTGTGACTTTTATATACAATTTACGTATTTCCTGTTTGGATAACATTCCTTTGTGAATGTGGGGGGGGGGGGAGAATACCAGCACACTTAATGAAATTAAACTTGTCTGGGGGTTACCGTTTATTGGAAATAAATATTAACAAGGTTTTTCTTTTTTCCATTTTTTTAAAAGTGTTATCATAAGTACTTTATAACATCAATTCTCTGTAAGGACCAAAAATGCTTGGCTACGCACTATCATGGAATTTTATTTTATCACTATAATATTAGAGAGTGCCCTATATAAAGACTATTGGTGGGTAAATTTTGGACAGTACCTCCTTGGTTTCCCTAGCAACGGCTTTGAAATATTTTGTTATGGCAAAACTGACCTGATTGTCATCACCATGTAAAATAATTCCGTGCTTCCTTAATGTAGGAAAGTTAAGAACATAACATGGGTTTCATTTTATAGCTAAGTAATCAAAGTTTCTGTGCATCTAAATTTTATTCAATTTAACTCAAGGTGTTTAATATGATACAGATCAATTTACATGAACTTGTCATATAAATGAATACGAAGACGCCTATTTCTTGATATGCATATTAATTTTTGAAGGCAATTGAAACTTAGAAAAAAGATCTTTTTAGTAAGATCGAGCTTAGATCTAAAAGATGCAAAAAGATTTGAGGTGGGGAAATCAGATAAAAGTCATATTCCAATCCCCTCAAAATACAACTTTTCCTAAATATTAACCTAGAGTTATTTCCCTTTGCTGAATCTTTTGCAGACAAAAGACAAAAAATTAAACTGGTGTTATTTCCCTTTGTTGACTCTCCTGTATTGAAGTCTAAAGAAGTTTATAACAACATGCGCAAGAAAAATAAACATGAAACAATAACAGAAAAATGATGTGTTTTTCAACTTTTTAAAATGGAATTCATGTGTGAATGACAAAGTAAGTCATCAAATGAAGGAGACACTGCTTTCTCAGCATTCAACTTAATAACGATGTACAGGTCTTTTTAATAATAGATTTTTAATGTCAAATTCACTTTGCGAAATATTGAAACAAATTTTATGAAGTCTGACTTGCATTCCCATCATGTGGGATTCCATGTACTCTAAAACCCATGAGAAAAAT